ATCTTCAACTGATGATGGGAGTAGTGGAATCGAATGGTATATCGTTGTGGTAATATTGGTTTCTGGAATTATTATTATAATTCTCCTTTTTTACATTGTCTGGTGTTCTCGTCGTTGTTGGTTGAGAGACAGAGAACCTGAACTAAACCCTGAAGCACAAACGACTGAAGCTGATACAACCTACCAAGCGCTGGATCTTACAAAAATGAACACAGAGGATAATTATCAATCATTGAGAAACACAAAACCTCAATCAAATCCTGAACCACAACAAACTGAAGTTAAAAGAATTTACCAAGCGCTTGATCTTTCAAAAATGAACTCAGAAGACAATTATCAATCGTTGAGAAACAGAGGACCTCAATTAAACCCCGAACCAAAGGCAACTGAAGCTCACACAATTTATCAAGATCTTGATCTTTCAAAAATGAACACAGAAGATAATTATCAATCGTTGAGAAACAGAGGACCTCAATTAAACCCTGAACCAAAGACAACTGAAGCTGATAGATCTTATGAAGAGCTTGATCTTTCAAAAATGAACTCAGAAGACAATTATCAATCGTTGAGAAACAGAGGACCTCAATTAAACCCTGAACCAAAGACAACTGAAGCTCACACAATTTATCAAGATCTTGATCTTTCAAAAATGAACACAGAAGATAATTATCAATCGTTGAGAAACAGAGGACCTCAATTAAACCCTGAACCAAAGACAACTGAAGCTGATAGATCTTATGAAGAGCTTGATCTTTCAAAAATGAACTCAGAAGACAATTATCAATCGTTGAGAAACAGAGGACCTCAATTAAACCCTGAACCAAAGACAACTGAAGCTCACACAATTTATCAAGATCTTGATCTTTCAAAAATGAACACAGAAGATAATTATCAATCGTTGAGAAACAGAGGACCTCAATTAAACCCTGAACCAAAGACAACTGAAGCTGATAGATCTTATGAAGAGCTTGATCTTTCAAAAATGAACTCAGAAGACAATTATCAATCGTTGAGAAACAGAGGACCTCAATTAAACCCTGAACCAAAGACAACTGAAGCTCACACAATTTATCAAGATCTTGATCTTTCAAAAATGAACACAGAAGATAATTATCAATCGTTGAGAAACAGAGGACCTCAATTAAACCCCGAATCAAAGACAACTGAAGCTGATACATCTTATCAAGAGCTTGATCTTTCAAAAATGAATACAGAAGATAATTATCAATCGTTGAGAACGAATGCTGCAAATATTGAGGCTGTAAATGACACCGAATCTACTTATACTGAGTTGAGCAAAACCAGAGATGAGGAGAACAAGTACCAATCTTTAACTTGAACTTGGAATAGTGTCCCAAAGTAAAATAACAAATGATAAAATAACTATCAGATCATTTTAATCAGGGACGTAGGAATCGGGGGGGGAGGGGGAGGTGCAGGCCCCCAAGTTTTGGCAAGTGCCCTTTTTCCGGGAGCAAAGTGCCCTTTTTTTGCGTGAAAATTTTTCATTAAAATTGCATTTTTTGCCCAAAGGGCACTTTTGAAAACTTGAATCTATGTTATTTGCGGAAAATTTTTTTTAATTTCCGGGAAAATATATATATCCGGAAAATTTTTTGGTATGTCCGAAAAATTTTTTTTCGTATTTAGGAAAAAATGTGGTATATCCGGAAAATTTTTTTGGGTATATGTCCGGAAAATTTTTTTGAGATGACTTTTTTTGTGATGATTTTTTTTCGAAAAGTGCCCCTCAAAGCCTGCCCCCCCCCAACTTTTCGAAGCTTCCTACGCCCCTGATTTTAATCGATGCATTTTTAATCGATGCATTTTAATCGGATAAATGCAATTTTAATGAAAATTTAGATATGGTTCACAAGAAAATCATGAAGTCTACAGCAATAATATCTAAAAGTAGACATATAAATATGAATGCTCGAAAGCTACTATACTATGCCTTAGTCTATCCATATCTGATTTATTGCAACTTAATATGGGGTAGCACATACAAAACAAGAATACAAAGGTTAGTAAGCATCCAAACAAAAGATAATGAGACTAATAACATTTAAATTTTATTTCGAACACACTGAACCAATTTTTTAGAGATCTAGAAATATTAAGCATTGAACAAATAAATTGCTATCTCACCAGTATATTTATGTTTCGATATAATCATTTAGAAAATCTACCCGAAATATTTAACAATTATTTCTGCACAGCTAATTATGAAATTTACGACCACAACACAAGAAGTGCATCTCAACTTCACAAAACTTTCAAAAAGGACTAACTATGCAAAACATACTCTTGCTCAAAAAGGAATAAATGTTTGGAATGTTCTCTTAAATAAATACAAAAATATTAAATCTTACACTTTTTTCAAAACATGTATTAAAAAACACTTGTTATCAAATGAACTGGAACGAAATGCAAATTACATTGATATAAACTGTCCTATTTGCATGTATACATATAATTATCTTTATTTACTGATTATGAACTGACTATCTTTAGTCTATAACAAAATTATGATGTTTCTGTAAATATAACATAGTCTAGGGGTCTTAAACAAAAGCCTTATAGCCTAGGTTTCTAGTAGGCCCCTAGCTCTACTGTAATAACGAATTAGTAAAGTTTTGTAAATATTATTAAAACATTTTTTTGGGCGAAATTAAATTAAATAAAATAAAAAATAAAATAAATAATTGACCAAATACCTTCTCTATTCACTTATACTCTGGCGACAAGTTGCAACATCCCAACTTGCCCATAATAGATTTCAAATAATGAGGATGAACACAATAGTTCTATAATAACCAGAGAACTTTCAAATGGGCAAACACCTTCACGTACGATATCAAATTCAATTAAGTACTTACAATCTTTATCGACGACGTAGGCAAATTAACCTAAGATCACCCCAATCAAAATTCCAATTATTTATCCGATAGGAAATCATGTTTCTACAAACACCACACGCAATAAATCGTAGCTGTAGGCCAATTTATGAATAAAGCTCAGAGACTGCATTTAGTTCGTGTCAGTCTAGGAAGGGAGGGAAGACAAACGATTGTAATTCTCATGCAACTGTCAAACGAAGTTATCCGAATTCACCATAGACTTCCGAATTCACCATAGACTTCCATTGAACAGCATCAGTCAGGCACAACGAGCAGACGTGCGAAATTGAGCTCCGCCTATATTCGTAAAAACGCGTAGTCCTAAATCAAAACCAAAATCTCAAAATACAACTACCGATGATGGCGGTGACGAGTATATATCCTTATCGACTGTTAAAAAATTAATGGCGCAGCAAGAAAACGCCTTTAAAGTAATGATCGACTCTCTGATTAAAATCTACTACATCAAGAGTAGATGGGTTGGTAAAAGATTTAGCTGAATTAAAATACAGCTTAGAATACTCGCAGAAAGATATAGCCTCACAACAGAAAGAACTTGACAGAAATCAATCCGAGATTCAATCAATGAGCAATGAAATATCAAATATCAAGATATCCCTTGATAAGTATTCTACAAAGACAGTTGATTTAGAAAACCGAAGTAGAAGAAACAACATACGAGTAACCGGCATTCCGGAGAAGCGAAGCGAAACGTGGGATGACTCGGAGGCAATGGTTAAATCTGTCCTTAAAGAGAAGCTAGGGCTAGCATCTGAGCCTCGCAT